TATGATACCTGCATTGTGGGGTTGGGCTAGATGACCCTTGGGATTCCTTCCAACTTTGCAGTTCTATGAGTTTATGTATAGTGGCTTGTCTCCCATGTAGTCTTTCAGTTCTGGTCCCACCAGCTGCTGCCATGTAGCCCCTCCCTTCCACCAGAATAACAAGAACCTGCAGCATACTGTGAAGATTATAAGTGTTATTGTACTTTTTCACACAGCACACCGTTAAACTGTGAAACTCACTTCCACAGGAGGCAGTGACGTGCACCGACCAAGATGACTTTAAAAGAGAGGGCTGTTGATTGCTACTATCCATTCCACTTTATGTCAGTGGAAATATGTCTAAAGAAAGTATCTAGGGCGTGGAGTTCATAGACACTTTCCACAAGGTATTTTTATGCATAACAGTAAAAATTGTGTTGTAAGGTTATATAACCCTTATCTTTCTTTTACGTAACAAACAAGCTGTAAAATGTAAACAGCCCAGAATTGATGGGCAAGGGAGAAGCAAGATTATGCGGATATAACTAGCATGTCATTTAACATTTGCAATCTCGTTGTGGTTTCTGTTCCTTGGAGGGTTGGGTGTGTTCAGAACTTCCACTGGCATCAAAGCTGCCAGAAAGAAAACTAACTGTTGGGGTGTTTCGTGCATTGGAACACTCCTCCCCAACTTTAAGTCCTTCAATATTTAAGTCCCATCATCTTTGACTATTGGCCATGCGGGCTAGAGCTGATGGTGACTGTAATCCTGCAACATCTGGGTACCCAAGTCTCGGGAAGGCTGCATTATGAACAGGATGGTCGCCTCTTTCTGGAAAGCTTCTGAGGCCTTTAACAGGCAGGCAGAAACTCCTAATAGGGAATTGCTGGGGTGGCAAAGCTTCACCCATTGCATTTTGGCCTATTGTTCAAAGCACAGAGCCTCTGCCAGGAGGCATGGGGACAACCTGAATTTAAAAAGTTTGGTAAGGATCACCTCTCAAGAACAGGGAAGACAGAATGTAAGGCTACTTTAAGGATGTCTGCATTAGGCCATCTAGAGCTCATTCCTTGGTTTCCTTGAAAACACACACAACCAGTTCTAACCCATTACGGGACACTGATCTTGTTTTCGTCATTGTGTGTACTGGCTTGCCTCCCAAGTAGTCTAATGAAAATTATAACCATTTTCCTTGCATAGAGAGCACTTCTCAATGTAGTATGTTCCTCCGCCAAATAGCCTTTTTTTCTAATGTCAACCTGCACTTCACTTTCTTGCAGTTCCCACCCATGGGCTTTAGTCCTGCCCTGTGAAGCAACAAATCTTCTGCATCTTTAACAACCCTTCAGATATCAGAGGACCGCTGTCATGTCCCCCCTTGATCTTCTCTTCTCCACACTAAACATATCCAGCTCTTTCAACTGTTCCACATAGGACTTGATTTCCAGACCATGCTAGTCATCCACTTCTGGACACCTTAGTTTGTCAAAATCCTTCACAAAATATGGCATTTAGAAGTGAGAACAGTACTTTGCATGTGGCCTGAGCCATTCAATAGAGAGCGATGCTGATAATGTAACCTAAGATAGAATAAGAAATACCACTTACCACAATTGGCATATCACCCAGAGTGTGGGAACAGTGGGCGGAAACAGACAATATACAGTAAAACTGTAGGCTATTAGAAGGCTGCTACTCAAATACATGCAAGCTAATGAGCAAGAAGGGCAACTTTTCAGATTTGTTGTGATGATAATGCCACCTATTTCTTTTAACAAGAATGGGAACTTTGGATACTGCCCGGAAGTTCTGTTTAGTCTCATGGCTAATAATGATCACATTTTATTCCTGTGAATTTTTACTACCCCTTTTGCTGTCTTATTCTAGATTAGATCCAAAGAGGGCGGACTCCAGGTGGACTTTTTGCACATGCCCCGAGTAATTGCATCTTTCCTTTTGATTCTTCAAGGCTCTTAGACCATAAGCCATAAAACTACAGTTAAGGTACAGGTTAGAGTCCAAGGGCACACACACAGATGCACACACACTGCTATACTCTGTGCACTTAACCACCTTGATAAGCTTTGAAGCCTATCAGTTTTGAATTAATTTTGGAACTAAATGACAAGAGATCTGTTTTTATTGTACAAATGAATGTCACCTACTGGTAGGCTGATATATAGTGTTCTGAATTTGTGGGTGCCTGATCTCTCTGATCTGTGGATCTAGCAAATGTTCGAATTTAATCGAGGTTTGGGGTGTTAAGACGGGTGCCATCCTTAGATCCAGTATCTAAGGATCCAGTACTGGATCCTTAGATCCAGTAAGTCTTAGAATCTAATCAAGCCAAGGTAGCTTCCAGTGAGGTGATACCCTGGGTGGTATACCATTAAGGGAGTTAAAAGTGTAATTGTGTTTTATTATCTGTTTATGGTTGTGTGTGTTCTAATGCCTTTTCTAACTTGTCTGTTAATTTTCTACAAGGAAACTGTATTTTGCTGTTTGTTTGTACATCCAGGGACAGATGTCTTGGTTGTTAGGAGTTTGTGGGTGCCAGGCCCCTCCAATCCCTGGATCCAGCAAACGTTAAAATCCAATCAAACCAAGCTAGCTTCCTCTGAGATGATAATGTGCCATTAAGGGGAATTAAGTGTCTCTGTAGGAGATGGCAAATGGGTGGGGCTCCTCCCTCAACTCCCAGATAGTGAGGACAAAAACCAGAGTTGAGGAGTGATGAGACCTAGAAGCAAAGTGGCAGGCAGAGAGAGATGTCTTGGTTTGCTAATGCTGTGAACTCCTCCGGCATAGGCCCAGGTTGTATATATGCATAAATAAATTATATGTCCTAAAGACATCATAGTCTCCACTGTGCCTCACTTCCAAAAGTAAACATGAACCCTGGGTAAGTGCCTGGAATCTCGCAGATTTGGAGATTGGGGAGGCATGCAACAATATATATCCCACAGCATGGGGAGCTCCTTGAAGGCATCAGCTGATTTGCTAGGTGGTATGGTGGCAGGAGGAGGAGAATCCTCTTACAGGCTCTTGGGGAAATCTTGGGGGGGGGGCAGAATGACACTTCACTTTTAAAAGAACCGCGCCCTTCCTCTTTTCCTCATGTAGATGGAACTTTGCCAGCAACTGTGCCACAAATATAGGTGGGTGGTTGTTGTTTTGAAAAAGCTTGCCATATTAATCATTGTGGCATTCAGTTACAAAATTTAAATATATTTTTCTCCATTAATTGTACCTCTATTGAAAGGACTCCTGGTGATTTTGGGAAAGACTTGTAATCTTTTTAAACTTTGTCTCCTCAGACAACCCAGTAATTGAGAGGTAAAGACACAGAACTATTTTTCTAAGGGGATATTTATTACTTATGAAAGTAATGCTGTGGACTGAAGTCCTCTATTTATCTACAGAACAAGTACAGCACAGAACACACTGTGCTCAACTTAACCCTATTGTTTCACCTACACGTAATAGGGTGAATGAGGGCAGCCTCATTTTTAATCAGTCAGCTGATGCACTGACTGATTTAAAAAAGGCACCATCTGGCCCCAACTCCATCCAACTAAACCCCATTTTCCTAAAAAGGAAAGGATAAACCAGCCATTTTAACATCTCAGTGCACCTGAGATAGGGAGGGGGCAGAATATAGATCAGGGTCTGCTGGTCGATACCTGGTGAATTTTCAGCAAAGTGTTACTGAGTCAGCTGTGTTAACAAAAGAAATAATCTAGGCTGCTTACCTAAACTAGGCTGTTGCAAAAGTAAATCAAGAGTGGATTTACACGTGAAAGGACCTTAAGTCCAGTACAGTGGTACCTCGGGTTACATACGATTCAGGTTACACACTCCGCTAACCCAGAAATAGTGCTTCAGGTTAAGAACTTTGCTTCAGGATAAGAACAGAAATTGGGCTCCGGCGGTGTGGCAGCAGCAGGAGGCCCCATTAACTAAAGTGGTACTTCAGGTTAAGAACAGTTTCAGGTTAAATACGGACCTCTGGAACGAATTAAGTACTTAACCCGAGGTACCACTGTACTGAAAACTAATTCCTAGGTTCAGAATGAACTCCAATGCATTATCTTATTTCATTCTGACCGCATGTTTCTTAGTTATGGCTCAGGTTGGCCGATCTTCGGGTTCTACTTTTTAAAAAAGAAGTAAAATAGCCCAAAACAATCCTGAAGTCTGCCCACTCCTCCTGACCCACAAAACCTATTTGTGGCTGCAAGCAGTTCCGACATCCTCTACCACATTTGTGGAGACGTTCAAGAAACAGAAGGAAATGCTGCATGAAGAAATTCAGTGAGAGTGCAGAGATGCTGCGGTACAACAGTTTATAAAGCCGGCCTCCTCTCTGGTTTTGTAAACATGAAGATCAAGGTCACTTCAGGATCAATTCATGGTCTGGTGTACATCCTCCTCCAAGGATGCACGATTTAACACCCACCCAAGCTGAGTGATCTGCATTAGTGCAAATACATTAGGCGCATCTGCCAAAGACAGAGGCAATACCGTATGTACCTCTGTCAATCCCATAAGATTAAGGGCTCCAGGATCAATTTAAAAAACCAAAAAACACACACACAAAAACCCTCCACAGTAATGTACTCCCAACTTGGCAGACCAGACAATGCTACAACCAGTATTATAACCGCATAAGCAAGAATTAGCTTCCATTTCAGATTTCATGTATATGGGCATATGGATATTGTTTTCTGGATACCCAACCCTGCTTGTTGTTAAAGACTCCAGCACAAACCAGACACAGGCCCTGGTTGAAGTTTGTGCTGGACTGAAAACTGACTCCAAAAATATGTTTGGTGCCACAATCTCTTACACTGATGCTGACCAGTTGGAGAATAGGGAGGGGACACTGGATCAATGCATCCCTGCCCCCCAACAAAGGATCAAGGTGATTCACCCCCTCAGGACCCATATGTCTGCAGTCAGAAGTACTTCAAAGACAAGAAAATAAATGTTGATAACAATAACTATGCAGTCTAGTTAGTTTGTCAGAAATGAAATAATTTTTATTTAGCTTTTTTGGAACAAAACTTTTAGAAACATATGGATTTGCTTTTTTTATAATGCTAAAATGCTAATGCTTGGTGATTACAATACTGAACAAAATATTGGACAACGGGTATTTCATCTGCTATATAAACTGGACCAAACTGAATTTACACTAAGAAAGCATCTAGAGGTAAGTTTTATATATAAATCTGAGTTTTCTACATGAAACCAATGTTCTTATGCACACTTCACTGAATGTTTGATTGTAGCAAGAGGGTTTTCTGACATAAAACACAAGTATAGATAGAATGGCAAAAAACAAAACAAAACAAATCACAGTATCGGTATCATGCTTCTTAAAAATTTCCAGTGAAAATTAGAGGAAGTCGCAGAAGGGAAAACGACATCAATTCAATTAAACAAATTCACCTGAGTAAATGAAGAGCCAAATGTGTTTCCTGTATCCCCCATAAAGACTAACATAACACCCCCAAGCCAAACATAACACAACACAACATTAGCTTACTCATGTGCAAAGTAAAACAGAAGCTGGCATAAAGCAACACAATATAACAAATGTAGACATACTTCTAGCTAAGAATAATCATTAAGACTTTCCATGAAAGATTAGGGCATTTGTTAAACTTTATTTGGCCTACACAGGGTGGCTATTATAGAATAATTTTGGTGTTCAATAGTCTATTAGTCAAATTGTCCAAGGTTAGGTTAATGGAAATAAAAACTCTCCATATTACACCTGGCAGAGTCAATGACCTAAAGCAATGGAGAATTTAGTGTTCTTTGATGTTGCTGCTGTACATCTGTTTACCTTATGAGCAACGTGCAGACAATAATCCAGACTGTAAATTGGCAACACAAAGAGATAATTTGCAGTGTGCCCCATGTCCACGATTTTCCCCAAGTGCGGAAGAGGATATAAAACATCTAGTAAGGGAGAACTGAAGGCCTGGATGTTATTTTGTGTGTTTTCAGTACAGAAGACAGGAGCCTCGACACCTAGCAGGTTGTAAGGTGAATAAGATGCCTAAGGTTGCAGCTAGGCCTCCCAAGCCTGCAACACTAGTGAGGAAGAGTTTGAAGGTACATTGCACTCATGAAAGCAGGAACGGTGTGCTTTGGGGAGAACCCCATGTGGCCACTATCAGAGACATTAACGGTTTGGTCACCCCAGCCATTATTGCTAGTTCCTCAGTTCTGGGTTCTGCAACTCAGCTGTATCACAGCAAAAGAGAACCAATCTTTGTGGAGGAGACAACCTCTCACTGAACAGCAGCGATCCTGATGACTACCATAAATTCAGTTTGGGTTACTTTTTCAGTGTGCTCCTTAACATACTGGAAGTTATGACTGCAGAACCTTGTTTACAACCCATGTGGTTCCAACTAATGATGCTTGGTTTATTTGGTTAGATTAAAAAATAAAATCAAATTGAGATTGTCTTAACAAAAATGGGAAGGGGAAAAAAAAGATACTTAAAACCCTAAAAGCTACTGAAGCAGCTGCCACCAATGTGCTTCTTGAAATTAGGTTGCCTTTCTTCGTCGTTCCTGGGCAGTCACAAAGTTGAGTAAGTCGATTGCTGTGACAACACCAAATACCATTTGCTTTTTGCTGGATTGGCCATTGCTGTGATCTATAGAGGGCAGAAGAACATGACAAGGCATAAGTTGAGGAACCAAACCCTAACATACACAATTTTCAAACTACTACTTGTGTCTCAAGGAATGAGTATCTTCTCTTGCACTGTATATGTTTTGGTTATTGAAAATATATGTACTTTTCCTCTATAAAACTAATTTAAAAATACAAGACCAAAAAAAGCAACTGAAATTAAAGTATAGTAGGCAGATCCTAGCTTGCCATTGACACGAGACATTCTCAAGATCAGTACAAGGGGAGAGGATGGCTTCCTTAATCTGCTCCTGCCTATGCTGTTGGCACTGCAGTGTTAGCACTCAGTTAAGGTCATTATGGTATCAGTGCACCAAACAGGCATTTTTGAGGAAGCGAAAGAAGAATATGGGATTGCTACCATCTCCTAAGAGCAATTTGCCTGACTCAATCATCTTAACCCCAACCCAATGTTCTACACAAAGAGCACTAGGCAAGGAGCATTTCATAGGTAAATGGAGCAAGGCACTGTAGCTTTTGCCTTGCATGAAGTGTATTATTTAGTTGTTGAGGCACCAGCCTTTCTGCTTGTTCCACATCATATTTTTAAAGCTTTTATGTTGATAGAGGCATAGATATCCATATCTAACCATCCTGTTTGCTCATGTTCACTCAGAAGTAAATCCTACTAAATTCAACAGGGTAAGTAGGGTTAGGCCTCAAAGCCTGTCATCTTCTAACTAAGACCTTCAGAGCACAAACAGCAGAGGTGTCCCTAGATAGAGCTACTGTGGTCTGCCTAGTCCTAGTTCAAATGCAGGAGTTTCATAGTTGAAGTCCTCTGTCTCCTGTCTTGCACCTCAGTTAAAATAAAAATTGTGAAGGACAATGCAGTGGAGAGCAGCAGAAGCACCACCACCACAACAGAATGTGGTGGGGCCAGAATGTCTGGACCACTTTCCCCTGCCTAAATTCACCAACTGAGGCACCAACAGACCACGGGCTCTGTTGGAGAAAGGCAACCCAAATTACAAGAGGAGGACTCCGGCAGGTGAGAAATTGTTGATTTTCAACTCAGGGAAGATTGCAACTAAGTTAGCAATGCAACAGCATATGAGGCTGGATTCTGCAAACACTTACTCATATCATGAGACATTGTACTCTTGCAGACGCACCAAAGAAATTGGAGGTCAGGGTATGTATGTATTGGGTACTTCCCCTGTCTAACCCAGAACTGGCATAGTGAGAATCTTAGCCTCCACTAGCAAAGCTTATTTCTTACCCTCATATGTGTGGAGAATATCCTGTGGCTCCTTCATGTGCCCTATATAAGACACAGAAGATTCTCACTGCCATTAACTGCTATTATATGTTATATAGCCAACAGGGAGTGTGGCAGAGACAGTAGGATTATTGCCAGGTCTTCTACTTACACTGAATCTGTTCGTGCACCACCAGAGCAAAATGATCAATTTCCAAAATATGGGACAGCTTCCCCAAGTTATCCTGCAGTCGAATCTGCAAAGAGAAACAGCCTTTAAAAGCAATTGCATATAGCCTTACAAATTTTGATAGATAAGTACCCCAATCCCAGTGCTTTTCCAACAAGCGTTTGAAAGTAGTATTTGTTTTGTGATATGGCAGTTATCGTATGAATCTTTATTTTTCAGTGTGTGTGTTCATGTTAAATGTTGGCATTTTAAAGAGAAGTGGAAGAAAGAAAAAAGTCTGTACAGCATGGTAATGTAAAAACCCAATGAGAGCCACGTGATCTCTCTGCTTAAAGCACAGCAACTGCAAGTTCAGAAACACACACCTTTACTAGTGGTTTATTTTCCAATTCTGGCAATAAGAGCTGGAAGGAGGCGATTTGGGACAAAATAAGAGGTCTGAGAAAAACTACAAAAGCCATTCAGTAGAAACAAAGTACAAGTCCATATTCCAGAACTGAATTTCCCCACAGGGATATTGCTTTTCATTCCTAGCAATATAGGCCAGCAAAACAATGAATACCCAGGCCACTTAAGTAAAGTCTAGATGGCCAAGTATTACAGGTGCTGCAGTAGCAGATATCTCACTTTGACAGGGAGTTGGACTTCAGGAGTTGTGATATAAATGTATTGCTATTGACGTGAGCTGTGGGAAAACAGAAAATACTATGGCTCAATCAATCAAAAGAAACTTGCAGAATGAAAAAGGCACTATCTAAGCTGCCTGTATTTTGTGGCCAAGATCCAAAAGGGCCCTTCCACAAGCCGGAGGAACCTTCAGCATATGAAAGCATTGCTTTACACCAGAGATGGGGAACCGGTGGCTTGATGAACTCCCATCATCCTTGACCATTGGCCATAATGGTGGCAGCAGGTGGGAGCTGCCATCCAAAACATCTGGAGGGCCACAGTCTCCCCATCCCAGGTTTTCACCAAGCTTTAAGCTTAGAGCACCATGTGAGAAAAGTGAACACGTTGTTCCACTTGAACAAGAGCTTGTGCAATCTCGTGTGCCACAAAACCTATCACAGAAGCACACAAACTCCTGTGCAAGCTTTACTGGCAGGTCACTAGCAGGCATTTCCCTTCCACTTACAGTTCTTTGGTGCCAACTCATTATAACTGTGAACTGTGAAACACAACTGAGATCAGCTCAGTCCTCAAAACAAGGCTGCTCAGATACAACAGGAGAAAGGGACAGGAGGCTGTGGTATCCTTTGGCCTTTCTTCAGTCTCACACAATAGAAAGTAGGGACTTATCACTGTAGTCTATAAAGCTGGCAATTTTATCCATACCAACTTGGCTTGAAACAATGTCCTCCGAAACACTCAAGCACACAAAATCTACATTTTCTGCCCATCATCATTATTATCCTAGATTCTAGGCTTGTGAGCCAAGAATGCCAGTACTTGTCAATTCAGTAGGAAATAAGATTTTCTGAGTGAAGCAGACAGAGCAAGAACAGAGGCACTAAGCACAACAGCGCTGTGTTTTAATTCAGTTGCTTTCAATTTATACTCACAGGAGCCTTCCTGCACTTTTAAATCACCAATACCATTATGGCAATCAATCACGATCTATGCTTACAAAGACCCATCAGGATTTCGTAATTTTAAATGTAATATAATACTATAAATTTAGGAGCGACTGTATCTTAACATAATGGAAAGAACCTTTTCTTGGTTTACTGGAACAACTCAGTCTCCCAGTCAAACCGAATCAACTGTAAGCATACCCAATAATTTTCTTCTATAATAATAAGGCTGTTCAAGATTTTCTCTTTCAGTGACAAAACATCTAAAGTAGATTGACAGAGTCTATGGTTCAAAATTTTAAAAAGTGCCATTTTATCACATTTCTTTGTAGTACATTAGCAATCTTTTAAAAAGGAATGAAATTATTAGTGGTAATGTTGGTTACAGAGTAAAGGAGTTGTATGAAGGAGGGATACTCCAGGCAACAGTGTTTGAGCTCACAGAAGAAAGGAAGACAGTCCCCAGAAATTGTCACTAAAGAACCAGGAACTACAGTCAGGGCTGGGTATACTCTACTTTCTAAAAAGTAACAGTACAGATTAAAATTATGTGCCAGGATAATCAACATTCCATGCTAAGGCAAAAATTCTGCAACCTGAATAAATTATGCAAATTATGTAACATCTGCTCATTTTGCCAAGTTTGTATGGCACAAGGGCAAAAGGTCCACAGCCCTGGCTTTAGCCATAAAAAGGAATAAAGAATACAGGGTTTGAATTTTTTTATCCAGAGGCAAACAGCACACATCTTTAAACCCAGTTGCATCCTTCTTCCCCAATCCCGCAACCTGGGGATGAACATTTGACTGCAGAAGCGGCTGGCCTCCAGTCCAAAAGGGCCATTTTTTCCCAGCGTCAGCAGCTCTCTTTTTTTTGGTGTGGTAATTGCCTGCAGACTGCAGCTTATGTGACCTTGCTATTTGCCACTAGGCAACATGGGCCCCTCCACCGTAAGAACACCAGTTACACTTAAGAGAGGAGAGAAGCTACGTTGCTTAATTACGCACCAGATTATACATTTTGCACGGTGATTCAATTGATAGCTAGGGAAGAAATTAAATTCATTTAATGTGACCACGAAGCATTAGTAGAAAACATGAAGTGATTAGGTGCAGTGTTACATTTTAGCCTCAGAATTTTAACAATTAGAAAATATATTTGCTAAAGCATTAGTTTGATGCGAAGTAGAAGTGTCTCTTTTAAGGTACACCTTGGTTTGCATGTAAGTTCCCTTAGGCTTCAAGTAAGTCTCAAGGAACTCAGTGGAGACCAGCTTCTGAGCAGATTTGCTTAGGCTTGTGACAAGCTGTAAAGTGCAGCTCTTCCAGCTATGTGCGTCTGCAGGATATTTTTCAGGGTGAGGCAAAGTAAAAAACTGAGATTCAAGAGCAGTTTCTCACAAAATATTTTGAGAATTGTGCCGGCACAATTTGCCTCTCATCTCAGCTGCTACAAACGCTTTTCACAAAAATAAAAGCTCAGAATCTGAGAGTTACAGTTCATCTGGGGGGACGACTACCCCCAGTGAATGTCCATGCTTCCTTGGGGTGGGCTAAATGTATCCCGACTCTAGTACACATAGATACACATCAGCTGCTGTGCTAACATACTACTCTGTGTCCTACATTTTTATCATTTTTTTTTTAAATGTATTTTTTAAAATCTTTTTACTCTGTTGTTAGGAGATCCCTAGTTCCCTCACAGAGCGACAATTCCCAGTTCCCTGGGAAGAGGGAATGACTTAAACCACTCTGGGAACTGTAGCTCTGTGAGGGGAATGGAAGTCTCCTAGCAACTCCCAACATCCTTAAACTACAGTCGTGGCTTGGTACTTGTACGTTTTGGCTCCCAAACCCCGCAAACCCCGAAGTGAGTTTTCTGATTTGTGAACGTTTTTTGGAAACCGAACATCCGACGTGGCTTCCAACTGAGTGCAGGAAGCTCCTGCAGCCAATCGGAAGCCACGCCTTGGTTTTCGAACATTTTTGGAAGTCAAACGAACTTCCGGAACGGATTACATTTGAGAAGCAAGGTACAGCTGTACAGTTTCCAAACTGCTTTGGGGGAAGCTATGACTGTTTAAAGTGGTATGTATGGTGCTTTAACTGTATAGTACAGATGGAGTCTGTTAAGAACATAAGAAGAGCTCTTCAGGATCAGGCCAATGGCCCATCTACTCCAGCACCCTGTTCTTGCAGTGGCCAAGCAGGTGCCTATGGGAAGCCTGCAAGCAGAACCAGGAGGCCACAACACTCTTCCCAGCTGTGATTTCCAGCAAATGCTATTCAGTGACATACAAATTACCCCTGGGTTTTCACAAATAGGTAAAATATTTTAAAAACAAACATTTGCATTTACGGTAAATACGTGTTTTCTCACAAAATAGGCATATCCAGATTTTGTAAGCAGTGTTCATATGTACAATATCGTGTACACAGGAGTTGATCAGTATATGTAACCTTGTTCGCATGTAATGTTCAAAGAGTACACAGCAGTTGAGCTGTGTTCACTTTTTCACACAAATTCGCCCTTGCAAATGTGTAGAGACCGCCTGTGCCTGTGTTCAGTGTAACATGTGAACAACCCTACAGCAAAACAGTATCTAAAACCATGTGTAACTGTGTATAATTTCCTTAATGTGCATCATACATTTTAGTCAAATGACCTTCCCCTTGTCAAAAACCTCTCCCCCCCCCAGCAATGGTGCGGGTCAGGGAAAGGAACAAGAGACACCAGAAGACTTTGATACCTTTTTGAACTGCTTGTAGATTACTTTGCTGACTTGGTCTGATGGCTGCACTTTACCAGCAAGCAGTGAAGAAAGCATGTTGCCAAGGGTAACCATTCCCAAAATCAATCTGAAAAGAAGGTATTAGACACAGTTTTCTACTGGATGAGTTGCGGGTTCTTTCCTTTTTTTATCAGTTTAATGTTTTAGGCCAATATTTACAGAATCCCTCTCAATTTGCATTCAGGGGCACGCAGAATCCTTAGGGGTAAAACCACAGGTTCTATTTAATAGCACCCCAACACCATTTTCTTTAGAAACCTCTGGAGGAAGGAGTTTAAGTGTGGGGAACTGGCATTGAAGGGATGAGGAACTTTCCCTGCTTACTGTTTCCCCTTTCCTAATTGCTACCCTGCCAAAAAATGTGTGCCATAAACCCTGAGGAGGAATTAATAATTAATAATACATTGCGGGAATGCCTACCACAGTATAGATTATTATTATAATTATTAGTATTTTATTGTCATTTTATTATTATTAAATATGAGTCATTTTTCCATTTATGTACAACACTCAGAGCAACTTGCTTTGCTGGACTTTCTTGCAAAGCTATATGCTTAGACAAAGACTTATGAACTAGTTATGCACAGTTCCTAACACAGTTGCTTTTGGATAACATAAAAAGCCTTGTTGCTGTAAACAGAAAGTTCAAATATGATGTGTCTTTCTCAGTCATCACTTCCCCAGTTTCTCATTCTGTACAATTTGGATAAAATTGTGTGTTAGATAAAGTTGGTCTTTCTTTTGCCTGCACTGCTTTTATTGCAAGTGAAGTGAGAGTCACAGAATAAACCTCGTTTAGCTTCCGTTGTTAACTGGGATGAACTTTTGGGAGTGACCATCCTGCCTGCATTGCAACTTGTCCCTGTCTGACCCACCTGCAATGCTGACCATCCCCCTGGCCTATTTCATACCTGGTGACTTCAGGACTAAGATGCAATTTAGGCTCAGTTAATTCTTTTATGGGTCATTTGAAGCAGATGACTCTGGCCCTCAAAAGGTAATAAACCATACCAAGATTTTAAGAGAAGATTTTAAAAAGCCACACCTGTGACGGAAGTGACAATCAAAAATCTTTGTTGATGTCCTATATAGCACAGGAATAGAAAAAAAAGAGAAGGTGGGAGGTTTCGCTCCCAATTAGTCTCTAATCAGGGGGCTGATCATTCATCCAACCAATTTCAGGAGACTTTCTGTACTGGTGAGCAATATGAAAGCGAACGCTCATAGTTGAAAATTCAGAGAAGCAAGCTAGATGGGATCATGAAACGAGGTGGATGAAACCAAATGGCAGGAATGACTATGTGTGGTCACCTAGGTACTAAATATACATTTAGAAACTGGATGTACTTGGAAGGGAGGAAAATCTACACATACCCAGATTCATCAACAACGGGTACTTGGTCAAATCCCTTTTCTCTGAGTATTTCAATGGTCTTTTCACAGGTAACGCTTGGTAGTACTGTCAGGGGAGCCGAGAGACACAATTCCTGAACTTTCAAGTGCCACCACCTAGGAAAATAAAGAAAACAAATATAAAATCACTCTCCACCCAAGAATTTACACAAGGAATTCAAAGACCGAGAAACAGTGGCATCTTAGTAGTTTGTATCTTAAGGTAAGCTTTTCCTGGAAACGCTCATGAAGCCAATTACTGTATTTAAGTGCCCTCTGTCCTACTAACAGAAAAGGTTGTTCAGGGTATTCCGGAGCACGTGCTTGTCTTTAGGATGGATTGACGTTTAGAGCATGCAACTTTCATCATTCCTGATGACTGGCCATGCTGGCTGGGGTAACCTTTCACCATATGGTCTATTTTGGCTCAAATGAGACTATATGGATGCTCAGAGCCAGGACAAATAGTAAATAAAACACCTCCCTATTTGAAAAGAGTTAACCATCAACATTTTAAAGAGTCTTGTACCCCCTGAATGACTAAGAGTTTTTTTAAAAAGTACACAAGCTCTTGTGATTATAGTCTACCTGTATTAGACACACAAAGAGTTGTCCTCAGTTAGCAATGTGTATACATACATACATACATACATACATACATATATATATATAGAGAGAGAGGTACTTCCGGTTGTAAGGGACGCGGATGGCGCTGTGGTCTAAACCACAGAGCCTAGGATTTGCCGATTGGAAGGTCTGCAGTTCGAATCCCCGCAACGGGGTGAGCTCCCGTTGTTCGGTCCCAGCTCCTGCCTACCTAGCAGTTTGAAAGCATGTCAAGTGCAAGTAGATAAATAGGTACTGCTCTGGCGGGAAGGTAAACGGCGTTTCCGTGTACTGCTCTGGTTCGCCAGAAGCGGCTTAGTCATGTTGGCCACATGACCTGGAAGCTGTCTTCGGACAAACACCAGCTCCCTCAGCCTATAGAGTGAGATGAGTGCACAACCCCAGAGTCATCCGCAACTGGACCTAACGGCCAGGGGTACCCTTACCTTTACCTTTTTACCTCCGGTTGTGGATGGGATCCATTCCAGAGGTCCAGTTGGATCCCGAGGTTTCCGCAACCTGAGCGTGCAGCGAAACCCGGTAAAATGCTTCCAGGTTTGCCGTGCACGCATCCTGAAGTTTACGTAACCAGAGGGTTACATAAACGGAGGTACGACTATGAATATACACAAGTGGACATAGGGAAAAAGAGAAATGGAAGTAGCAGCCATAGAATGCAAAAAGGACAGTCTGTGACAATCCTATGCAGTTTAAGCAAAGTGACCATAACTGACAATAACATAGCCATCCTACCACAATAATAAAATCTGGATAATTGGGTTATTGCTGTTGTGAAGGGTCACTCTGTGTGTCTTAAGCCTGGCTTAGAATTTCCACAGCCTGTACTTTTCACAGTCGCTGTGTGTTTGTGTACGTGCCTCTCTCTCTCGCACACCCCTGCCAACTGTGGTTAGCACTTCATGGATTTGATAAAGTGGGGCTGAGTCCATGAAAGCTTATGCCACTATAAACCCGTTGGCTTATATGGTGCCATAAGCACCCTTTTGCTGCAACAGATTAACATGGAAATCAAAATCTAATGCCTAGTTTACTACAGCTGGAATTGTATCTTCAACACGAACAAACACTGTTATATCTCCAGAGCCTAGAGCGGGTCAGTGTGGACAATATGAGTTGTAATATTACTGCATCTTGGAGACCTAGGTTCAGACTTTGCCAAGTCATTGACTTTCTCTTCAGTTTCACTTCCTCCATGCATAATCATCACAGCAAAAATAGAGGGGGGGGGGAGAGAATTTAAGAAAAGAAGAAGAAGAGTTTGGATTTGATATCCCACTTTATCACTACCGTAAGGAGTCTCAAAGCGGCTAACAATCTCATTTCCCTTCCTCCACCACAACAAACACTCTGTGAGGTGAGTGAGGCTGAGAGACTTCAGAGAAGTGTGACTGGCCCAAGGTCACCCAGCAGCTGCATGTGGAGGAGCGGGGAAGCAAACCCGGTTCACCAGATTACGAGTCCACTGCTCTTAACCACTATACCACACTGGCAAGAAATGTACCCTTAATTTCCCCCCACAATTTGTAAATGGATTATACCAGAACTAGTACTGAATAATGACTGCCCTATAAACTCCCTAGTTAAAGCTGAGTAATGCCAACAAAGCACTATGACTGAGGTGGAGGTAGATGCAGAGAGAGGGGCAGATAACTTCAATTAACAGCAGCAATTATCCAAAGCAACATTACTTCTGGACATATTTATGAAGTTAGCTTGTCTAGACTTAACTATCCATATTAGAAAAAATATTTTGACTTAAGGGTGGGTTTTTGGTCGCAACTTATTTTACTAAGCCTTCACAGGCATGGTCACCTCACCAGGGCTTGTTAATAATGTCATCTTCTTCTTTCATGAAGCCTTTCTGAGTCATCCATTTGTCATTCAAAAACTTGGACCTGGAAGCAATCAAGAAACGAAACAAGTCACAAGTAGCAATTTAGGTTATACCTGCCTTAAAAGCAAATAAGCTGTAAAGGATGACACAGCATAACATTTCAGAGCTTGCACGTAGAATAAACAGCTCTCTTTTAATACGCTTGGCTCTCAGTGAGACAGTTGTAAAAGTCTACATAAGGAGAATATAATCAGGCTGGCTCACCCACAGGTCAAACTGGGCCATGACACAGGCACCAGTCCTGCAAGGGAGAAGTCAACATGGCTGGGCTAGGGCATGAAAGTGGCATTGGGAAGGATGGGTGGAAAAACTGGCAGAGGGGGGTCCAGACCCAAGAAAGCCACTGAACAGTGGCAGTCTCTCAGAGTGAGTGAGCTTGAGGTGGGAGGGCAGCACAGGGGCAATGGCAGTGAGTGTGAGAGGGTGGGCCTCATCTGAGATGCCATAACTTCAAGTGCCCATCCTGTTATCTCCTGCTTGGACTACTGCAATGTGCTCTACGTGGGGCTACCTTTGAAGGTGACCTGGAAACTACAATTAATCCAGAATGCAGCAGCGAGACTAGTGACTGGGAGTGCTCACTGAGACCATATCACACCGGTCCTGAAAGACCTACATTGGCTCCCAGTATGTTTCCAAGCACAATTCCAAGTCTTGGTGCTGACCTTTAAAGCCCTAAATGGCCTTGGCCCCGTATACCTGAAGGAGCGTCTTCACCCCATCATTCTGCCTGGACACTGAGGTCCAGCGCCGAGGGCCTTCTGGCAGTTCCCTCACTGTGAGAATTGAAGCTACAGGAAAACAGGCAGAGGGCCTTCTCCGTAGCGGCGCCCGCCCTGTGGAATGCCCTCCCATCAGATGTCAAGGAAATAAACAACTTCCTGACTTTTAGAAAACATCTGAAGGCAGCCCTGTTCGGGTAGTTTTTAATGTTTGATGTTTTTAACATTCTGTTGGGAGCCGCTCAGAGTGGCTGGGGAAACCCAGACACCAGATGGGCGGGGTGTGTATATATATATATATATATATATATACAGTGGTACCCCGCAAGACGAACGCCTCGCGAGACGAAAAACTCGCAAAACGAAAGGTTTTTTCGTTTTCGAGTTGCCTCGCAAGACGAATTTCCCTATGGGCTTGCTTCGCAAAACGAAGCTTGCCCAGGGGACAGCGGGTCTTCTCTTTTGAAGCAAGGGGCGGCGGGGAGAAGCGATCTTCTCCCCGCAGCCCCAGGTCCGGGGACAGCGGGAAGCGCTTCCCGCTGCCCCCGGACCTCTTTTGAAGCAAGGGGCTGCGGGGAGATCGCTTCTCCCGGTGCTCCGAAGCCGGGCGGGGGGGAGGGAACACCTGCCCCAGCCGCCCCGCTTCGGAACGCTGCCCCGAAGCGGGGCGGGGGGGCGGGAACACCTGCCCCAGCCGCCCCGCTTCGGAACGCTGCCCCGAAGCGGGGCGGGGGGGCGGGAACACCTGCCCCAGCCGCCCCGCTTCGGAACGCTGCTCCGAAGCGGGGCGGGGGGGCGGGAACCTCGCACCCCGCCGCCGGGCATCGGAACGAGGTCCTGGACCTCTTCTGAAGGCAGGCGGGGGCAAAAGTCTTTGCTCCCCCCGCCTGCCTTCCCGGGACAGCAGAGACTTCTCCGCTGCCCCGGGCGATCTTAAAATGCTGGCGGGCGGGAGCGAAGCGTTCGCTGCAGACCCCCAGCATTTTAAAATCTCCTCGGGGCAGCGGAGACTTCGCTCCCGCCCGCCAGCATTTTAAAATCGCCCCGGGACAGCAGGGGCTTTTAAAATGCTGGCGGTCGGCAGCAAAGCCCTCCTGTCCCCGGAGCTTGCGGGGCGGGAGGTGGGAAGAAGGGCTTTTCTTCCCACCGCCAGCCTTCAGAACAGCCTTCTGAAGGCTGGCAGTGGGAAGAAAAGCCCTTGTCCCCCCCCCAGCCTTCAGAAGAGTTCGGGGGACAGACTGTCCCCGGACCTGGTCTGAAGGCGGTTTCCCTAGGAACGCATTAATTGATTTTCAATGCATTCCTATGGGAAACCGTGCATCGCAAGACGAAAAAACCGCAAGACGAAGAGACTTGCGGAACGAATTAATTTCGTCTTGCGAGGCACCACTGTGTATATATATATATATATATATATATATATATGTATATAATTTTAGCTGCCTTTCATACACTACAGCAGCGGTGCTGGAGCCACTTAGCCATGCTGCTGCCACCATCACATTCAGAGGTGCAATGCCAAATGGGTAGTGCTAGTCATGCAGGCAGGGTCCCCTACCTCACAGTCAGCATCAGGAACAGAGAAATAAGACACCTACTTACATGTAGTTCCTGACAGAATCTGGAAGGATGACGACACAGCGCTGGCCTTCTTTCAGCTCTTTGGCAGCCTTGACAGCAACAGACATAGCACTGCCTGAGCTGCCGCCTGACAGAAGACAGAGGACACCATTAAAATGGCATGGAAGCCATTTTGAAAATGCAGATGTAAAAGGAGACAAAGAACAGTGGGAGAGCCTAATGATCAAGTAACAAAGTATTAATTATCACCATCTCATCAATTTTCACAAAAAAGTTGTCTCAAAGTGACTTAACAATTCATAAAAAACATACAGCACAACAAGTATTCATACAACAACAGAGGTGCCCCAAAGTGCTCATCCATCAATAACTGTAAAAAGGACATATCCCTACTCGCCCCAGGATAAGATGGACATCATTAAATAGACCAGCCTGGTGCAAGCCACTATCTCACAACTTGTTCCCAGAAATGCACTGGAAATTCAATTTTGTTACATGGTGTAATGGAGTTATGTAAAAATGTTGGCAAAAAAACACACCAAGCCCCAGCACCTTGGAGCTGACTTTTCTAAATGAATCTTTTGCCTTTCCTCTCAAGATTGCCTTTCTGCTACTGCCATATTACAAGCAAGACTGGCATGTGTATCATGCAGGCAACAGCGGTGTCGGAGGGAAGAAAACAACCCAAGCAATCATTTCCTCATTCTTTCTGTTCAGAAAAGCTTGGTGTTCTGCAAGAGCCAGCAAATAGCAGCAAAGACTCATTCCTTTCGTGGAAATGTTCAGTTGGAACCGCCAAAGCGATGGAGGTTATAATGCATCATTTTGTGTTTGTTAAGATTGTGATGATTTTAGCATAAATGCTTTGACAAAGCTCTGTGGAGTATTCAGAGATGATTCTCTGACTGTATGTAGTTGTTTTATCTTTGTTTTAAATAAAAATTTTAAAATAAAAAAGGGCTCTATAACTAGAGCTGCCTATATTGTGTGCTGAAGCCGAGAAGCAACTACAGGTACAGTTGCAGGTGCTTAATTGCATATATATTCTAAAAGAAGTGACATTGTCTTCCAATGTCTGAACAACGGGTGCCTTCTATGCCAACTTTTGAACGCCTGCGAAAAACTTTTCTATTCTGCCAGACCTATGCAGGCAATTAAGAATACATCCCTCACAACAATCTACTGCTGTATTTATTTTTTCAAAAGCTACCAAACGTGGTGCTTTATAGTACTCATATACCAGTGACCCACTAGTGTGACAAAAAGGAAAGTATGACTTGGTCTCGAGAGCAAAGAGGTTCCTTCTCAACTGTTACTGTCACCCTGAGTACTCAATTCTCAACGAATACAAATATAGCTCTCAGAAAGCACTTACCACACAGCAATCCTTCATCTCTGATTAGCATGCGCGCACAGGCAAAAGATTCTTCATCATTACACTTGTACCATTTGTCCACCAACTGGAAGAAAGGGTGAGGAAACAAAAAACAAACAAACATGAAGCCTTGAACCTGTCTCTGCACTTGGGCCCTTAAGTCGATACTAAACAGGCCAAGAAATTCAGTGTGGGACAGAAGACATGGATTCTAGTGGCAGACTCTTGGGTCCACTGCCACAAATTTGGGAGAAGTCTGGAAACTGTCTTCCTGCTGCCCACATATATAGGCATCCCCTCAATCTCCTCAGTCTCCTGTTCCAACTGCTGTGCTGTATTAATGGGGTTGTTTTATTGTGCATTTCAATGGTGGATGTTTATATTTAATCCTTGGCATCTTCGGGTACAGCTGCTAAACGCTCCTGCCCAAAAACCCTGGAGAGCAGCAATTGCCAGTGCAGACAATATTGAACTAGACCGACCAATGGTCTGAGTCAGCAGAAGGCAGCTGACTACATCCACAGATTTTCTACTGCTCAATGGGAAAATATTAGGCACATTTGCATATGCATTTCTGAGCTCCATTATTTGCTCTGCCTGAATTATTTTGGCAAGGAATGAGCCACATGTAGCCACAGGGAAATAAAGACAAAGAGTGATGAGGATCTATGAAAAAGGACCTAGGAAAACTTGGAAAGCAAAGCTAAACACTCAGTGTCTATGCATTTCCTGAGGAAGCATGACTAAGTTCACAGCAGGAAATCAGATGCAAAAAAGGCCTTTCACAAAGACATAAGAATTATGGACACGCCAGCAAGATATGTTCAGCAGTAAGGGGACTGTAAGGCATGCACATGAGGGGAGTCTGACTTACTGATCTGTCCAGAACAGTAGGGATGAAGTCGTATCCAATCCCTTCCACTTCATAAGTTGTCCTGTCTGTATTATTTAGTCCTTCAGGCTCTGCAAGAATGGATCCTTCGGGATCAACACCTATAATCTGCAAGAGAGTTTTTAGCATTGAGTCAGCGTTTGGCTATCAAGAACAGCATTGTTAAATCAGTCATAGTAAGTCAAAATTGTTGTGGCATCGCAAAGATGTTTTCCCTGTCATTAAAACTTGGAAAAACACCAAACCTGATGTCAATCATTGCTTTTAAAGAACCTAAAAAAACTCACTTGCTCCTACACTGCTTTCATTTGGCTTAGTGAAAGGGCGAATGTCAACAAGTGTGCTCTGGATCCCATTCAGATGCTAGCTCTCATTACATATATATAACCCCAACAGGTGATGCAGACGGAAACATGATATTATGTGCTCAGTGACATACATCTCTATATCACTCAAATAATTTTGTAAGGAATCACAGTACAGGATACAAGATGTCCAGCGTGTTTTATTACTCTTAAGATTCTACTAAGTATTCTGTTTCCTGTGAGGATGAAATGCCCATGTTGGACACAATAAAACTATTAGATTCTTTGAAATATATTTCTGAAAATTGGTAGTATTTACATTCTCCAAAGGGGTGACCTTGCTGGCAAATTTCACACAATTCTGCCCAAATTTTTAAAAGTATAGGAATTTCTGTCTAGTTTGGGAGGTTGATCTAGAGTTTGTGTTCCTGGCATTGGGCAATCAGAATAGACTAGGGATTCTGTTGGTTTATTGCCCACCTTGCTGGAGTCTCCCTGCCTGAACTGACAAAGCTGGTCTAAGAGCTGGTGTTGAGGAACCCCTGGATTGCTGGTTTTGGATGATTTCAACATCCATGCCAAGGTGACTGGCTCTGGGCTGTACTTGACCCTATCCTTGAATGCTGGTTTTCTGCTCAGAATCGTTCCTCAACTGCTTTTCCCTTGTGGGTTTCCAGGTGCATATTTAAGGATAAGGAATAAGTGATGACCAGACTGCCGTACGCAAGGTGTGCAACAGTATAAAGGACACTCTTGCATCAAGAATGCTTAACATGAACATAATGAGCTGGTCTACATAAGAATGTTCTGCCTGTGCAAGTAGTCCCAACTTTCCTTAGACATACACACACGAGGATAAAAATGCAAATAGCAAGTGAACAGGCAGCAATCAATGATATAGCTGGTGGCAATCCATGTCATCATGGCAACAACAGTGCTTTTCCCAGGCACCATGACTGCTAATGAGCTCCATTTGGGGGGCAGGTCTGTGTGCATGGTGAAGGCTGTCACCCCAGAAGCCGTAGAACAGAGTGGAAGCAAACTCTGGTCGAGAGAAGCCTGTCTCACAGGTCCCAGTGCCTGCTTTAAGGGCAGAAATTCCTGTCTGCCTGGGCCCATCCTGGAACATGAGAACAGAAGGCTTCACAAACAGAGATAATAACACAGCAGGGTGAAGAAAACACAAGGCTCATGAGACTCCCTATACCCCAATAAGTCTCGGGATCACATAAATCCATAAACAATGGAAAATGATGAAGCAGTGATTGAGATGCCTGCCCTAGCCTGGGACTTACTTTGCATTCAGGGCATTTCTCCTTTAGTTTTCGGGCAATGCCAGTGATGGTGCCTCCCGTACCCGCTCCAGCTACGATCATGTCTACATGACCTATCAGAGAGGCAGAAACATGTGTACAGTTGCATGGCCAAAAAGAATTAAAGACACAAATCTGAATGGATACAGTCTTTTAGCCAATTCTGGTATAAGGGTTTTTGCCTCAGTATGGCACAGGCAGAAGAAACACATTTCATCAGACAAAAATGCTACGTGGGAGCTCCCTCTACTGGCCTTAAGCTAGCAAATGCAAAAAAGGTTATACAGTGGATCCTCCGGATACAAACTTAATTCATTCTGGGGGTGTCCAGCACCCTGAAAATTATGTAAATAGAGGTGCGCTTCTGCACATGTGCGCACGGCGAAACCCGGAAGTAGACGCTTCCGGGTTTCCGGGTTTGCCATGGCCGTAACCCAAAGATTCCGTATTCCGTATTCAGATACGTAAGTAGAGGTACGACTGTACTGTGAACATGACCTAGTCCAACCCCCTACAATGCCCCAAAACATCAACGGGAGCCCAGATTAATTGCATAAACATAAGAGAGAATCCACAGATTATGTGAATCCTAGATTCACATTTCCACTCTATAGCAAATGCCAGCAAATGTATTTATTTACTTAATCTGTCTGGCCTGCCAGGTCCTGAAAGCCTATGGCATGTAATAATACATAAGCAAATGAAACAATAATCCTGTATCTATGGATCTATGAGATATTCATTTAGAGCTATAGATATGGGCTTTCAAGAGGGGAAACCAATATCTAAATCTTTGCTCTGGCACAAAGCTCCAGCGATGGTTTTAGGCAAAGCACTGTCTCTAGCTACTGGTTCACATGTTGTGGATGTTGCAGGTCCACCCCACACTCATGCAATGCTCCATTTAGGGCGTACTTGATAATGTGTGAAGCGGACATGTACCTCATTTACCCAGTGACACAAATACATGGTAGTACATCCGCTTTGTTGCAACGTGTTAATTGGCACCGAGCCTAACCAGCCACAGAGAGCTATTTTGAGAATAATTTGAAATAAGAATGGTAAAATACTTTATGCACTGGGATGTGCTGTGGAATTGCTAAGTTATAGCAATGTTGAAGCCTCGTCTCGGCTCCAGCCATTAGAACACCATGCAAATTAAAAGACGTCATAGCACTTCTCGGGAGGTGGTGGACTCTCCTTCCTTGGAGGTTTTAAAGCAGAGGTTGGATGGCCATCTGTCATGGATGCTTTAGTTGAGATTCCTGCATTGCAGGGGGTTGGACTAGATGACCCATGGGGTCCCTTCCAACTCTATGATTCTTGGGCATGGCAAACTTGCAGGTGAAGAGTAGCTTGGGGCCTGTTGGACACCCACTGACACCACGTCTCTATGCATCCTGGCCCTATAGTAGCCTTGCAATTTCCCAGAACCCTCCTTTTCTCAAAGCATCTAGGATGAGGGGCCCAAGGGTTACCTGCTGGCTGAACATACCATCACACTGCTGCAGGATCTCCTCAGCCGTGGAATCGTAATGGGCCAGGGGGTTGCTGGCGTTGCGGTACTATGTTGAAAAATGAAAGGAAAATGTAGAAAAACAACAGTCTGGCAAGTTTACAAAGAGGGCTGTTGCTGGAACACACATGGATTTAAATGTTTAATAAATCTATAAGCTGCTTTTTAAAGGAAGAATCCTCCACAAGGCAGTATACAATAGCAAAAAGCAGCTATTACAAGTACAAGTACCATTAAAAGCAAGCCCATTTAATAATAATCTAAAAAGTAAACACAAGAACAACCCACCACCCCAAATCCTCATGCTATCAGAAAGGGCCATAGCTCAATGACAGAGCACGTGCAAAAGAAGCCAGGTTCAATTCCTGGTGTTTTGAGACAGGGCTGGGGAAAACTGCCTGAAACCCTGGAGAACAGCTGCCAGTAGACAAAACTGGGCTAGATGACCAGTGGCCTGACTCAGCAGAAGGGAGTTTCCCATGTTTCAATTTAGGACATTACCGTATCTTGACAGTCTAATTTACCTCATCCACAGAAAGTTACAGAGAGGGAGCGAAAGTCTTCAAAGCCCACTGGAAAATCTCTACATATAGCACCTGCCTGATCTTCCACGGATCTGGTTTCTGGAATTTTGGGCCACTGCTGAGAAGGCCCTGTTCCCTGATATACCCCCCGAGTAGAACATGGGGTATTTTTTTGCCAAAGTACTATTATTTTATTTCATAAAATTTACATACCGCTTGATTTTGTAAAGTGGTTTACAAAAAAGATAAAACAATAAAATGCTCACTAAAATGCTCACAACCATAATTTAAAACATACAAGAAGTTTAACCCACAACAGAATAGGCTAAAACAAAGTAGAACTCATACACACTTTCTAAACACCTGGGAAGACTTGTCTAAATAAAAATGACTTCAGCAGGCACAGAAAATAATACAGTGAAGGAACCTATCAGATAGCAATAGGAAGGGAGTTCCAATTAGGGTCTCAGACCACTTAATTTAATTTTCTTTTTTTTAGAGGTGTTCAAGCTCCTTACGTACCACCCACAGGATGACAATTTTGTATGAGTTGGAGGACAAGTTAAGTGCAATTAACTTTAGTCCAATTGACTTAAGATTATATAGGAAGCTGACTTATAATGAAACAAGCCATTGGTTCTATTAGCTCAGTATTGTCTACATCAGCCTTTCCCAACCTGTGCCACTCCAAATGTTTTAGACTACAGCTCCAGTCATAACTGACCATTAGTCTTGCCGACTGATGTTGATGGGATGAGTAGTCCAAAATACTTGGAAAGCACCAAGTCAGGGAAGACTGGTCTATATTGACCTGTGAAGACTGTCCCGGGTTTCAGGCAGAGTCTTTTCCATCCCTTTGCCTGAGAATTGGGAATTATAACTTATCAGCTTCACTGAGATATTAGAACGATGAATGAAAAGAACTGTATTCCACTTAGGACCTAGCTATCTGAAATACTTCTCTCCTTCTGCCTCTTTACCTGATCCAATATGTGGGAATTAGGGATTTCATTTTTAAGTCTCCACGCCACACCGACATGAGATTCTGGAGAGTCAAATCTAGCAGTAGTTGGAGTCCTCACAATTTCTGCCCCAAGAGCACGCAAAACATCCACCTGATTTCAAAAAAAACAAATTTGTGAAATGCACCACACAACACCCGAGCAATGGGGAAATTAAACTTTAAGCTACAAGACTTTGAGTGGCTTTCACTATGTATTAATTCAGATGTTAGCGATTTTACTCCCAGCGTAATGCCAGGCTAAACTTTAAATACTGAATGTCAGTCCAAATCCTGAACCTCATTAAACATTTTGCTACCTCACTGAAACAGCAAGTTTCAGCACTACCTTACTAAACAGCATCTACCCCATATGCAGCCATCTGCGTTGCTGGCTAACGATGTCCCAGTTAACCAATTACACAACAAGTGACGATTTGTAAGCATCTGAAATGATAAGCAGCTCTGACCTTCTCCATGCTCATTTTCTCTGGCATGACGATGATACAGCGGTAACCTTTCACTGCAGCTGCCAAAGCCAGTCCGATCCCTGGAACCAAGGAAACGCATCACTGAAGGAAGCCACACATTTATATTTTAAAACTCTTTACTTGCAGGAGCAGAGGAACCAGCCTTACACAGAGTCCAACTAGTTGCCTATCTCGTATAGTACTGTCTATATCAGTCTTCCTCAAGATAGTGCTCTGCAGATGTTTTTGACTAGAGTTACTAACAGTCCCAGCCACCATGGTCAACGGTCAAAGATAATGGGAGATGTGGTTCAAAACATCTGAGAAGGTACCAGTTTGGGGAAGGCAGGTCTACACAACAGACGTGTCTCTCTGGGTATTCAGAAAGGAACCTTTTCCAAGCTTTTCTAGAGATGCCAGGGATTTGAGCCTGAGACCTTCTGTAGGTAGAGCTTATGTTCTACCACTGAGTTATGACATCCCTGAAATGTATGCCCCGCCATTCTGGACCAACTGGGTACTCATACTGATAGAACAAGCCATTTTTATATTAACAAGCAGACTGCCTGTTTAGCCAAGTTTCTGGCTGTAGTTAAAAAAGCTTTCTAGTTGTGTGGATGCTTCTCTCCCAACACACATGGCAGTTTAGGATTACATCCTGCTTCATCTTTCCCCCAGACATCAGGGGGCATTATCGCTAACCACTGGAAGGTACCATTTCAGAGATTGGCGAGGAAGCATTCAATACATTCACTGTAAAAACTAAGGCTGCTTCAACTACAAGGACAACTGCCTGCTGTGAAGTTTTGTGTCCACTTGTACGTAACAACAATCATGATAACACTCTAAACTCGGCCTGTGCAGAACAGAACCACAACAGAGCGGTCTGTGTTTTCTGAGAGTGCAGGAGAGCAAGAGGTACAGCTTAGATCTTAAGAGATGCCAAAGGTCACACTGTTCTTTTTAACAAAAGCAGTATTGATGTTCTAATATGTTTGCGGAATTATGCAGCACTGGAAGATTCCCAAGAGAAGAGTGAAAAGCTAATCCAATAAGATTGCTTACTATTTAGGTAGGAAAAGCTATCTGTTCGTATACATTGCTCAGTAACCCTTACAACGCCCCCGTGTTACAGATTAGCTTATGCCCTGTCATTACAACAGATCATGGTTCTGTTCCCCTTTAAAAGCTCCTCTGTGTTCACTGATTTCTTCAGCCTTTCAACCGCCCCCTCCATTTCTTCCTCTCTGCATGACCCTCATTTATTGATGCCAATCAGCTCTGATTTCACAGTGTCTCTCTGCAGCCAGAGGTGTCATGGCAGCTCTGGCTACCATTGGTTTACCTTCTCTGACATCACAATGGGACTTGACTGCTGAGTGTTAAGCGGAGCATCAAGGAACTTAAGAATTCAAAGGCCCCTGAACAACTTCTGATCAATTAAACCACATCATCAGTCCTTGGACACCTTGGGCTTTCAAACAACACTTTGATGTAACAGTTTCCAAGGCTTTCAGTGAAAAGGAACAGGCAACATTTGCTGTTTATATAACATGATGATGATTTTTTGGGGGGTGTCTGACAGAGACGCAGTAAAAGCTATCAAGTGAATTCAAGGCTGAATTAATGTGATTCACACAAGGGACCTTCCAGCTCATAGTTCATGTCCTTAACCATTATACTGTACCAGCATATAAGGACAACTAAAGCCTTCTCCATACTTGTTTTCTCCTCTGGATGTGATATCACATTGTGTCTATACGAATGAGTAACGTTCCACAGCTCTGTTGAAAGCATAATCTAATAAAGGACTGGGAATTGTTAAAAGAAGGATGAGTTTCCTTTTAAAAAAAAATTGCAAGTGAACATAGATTCTAAAAGGTAAACTGTTGGGAAAACTAGCTCTGACAGTGTTTCTCATTCAGTTTGGTAAACACAAAGAGCTCCATGACTTTACACCAGAGATATTGCTTGATTATCTCACTGACTTCCATGGGAGAGCATTAAGTACATGCTTAATGTTCTCATATCCGTCATGATGCTTCCATTTTGGGGAGAAATAAAGCTCCCCAGATACCTGTTCAGCAATCCCTGTCCTATTATCCTCCTGTCTGCATTACTGCTATGCCCAACAACACAGCCCAGAGTCACACTACAATTGATCTCACTCCCAAGCAACCGTACCTGTGTTTCCTGACGTTGGTTCGATAATGGTATCTCCAGGTTTCAGAATCCCATCCCTTTCAGCATCTTCTACCATCCTTAGGCTGATCCGGTCTTTCACACTCCCTCCAGCATTGAAAAACTCACATTTTGCCACTGGAAAGCACAAAGACTATGTTTCAACTAGGTTTCATTTTTTCCCCCGTTTATCAAAAAGAGGGGACACGTCAGCTTTTAACGTCTAGCCCTCTTTCAGGGGAAAAATGCACCTGGCCAATTTATAGCCTCGCTGGGTGCACAAACACACATGGTGCAGCAATAGCTCCCCACTTCCTTTGCACCCCGTTGCAGACAACACCCACTAATTATTCCTTCGGTATCATTTTGGCACTACTAGTTTATTTATTTAGTTAGTTCTGTACTGTGATTAGTTATATTTTATTTTTCTGGGCTTCTTTTTATTGTTTCTGGTTTATGTCAGTCCAGAGAACATTGTCAATTGGGCAGTCTACAAATGACAGAAGTAAAATTAAAGAAATATAATTTAACACAGGTGACAAAACAAAAGGCTTTTGAGATATCAGCTCTGAATCAGCCCAATGCTGTATTTCTCTTTTGAACTGGCCAGTGGGCTTTACAGTCAAGCCGAGTTTACAGCAAACACTACCAAAATCCTGGCTGAACTGGTCCTTCTTGATCATTGCGACAGCACAAATGTTTGCATTTACAACTCCAGCTAACCAGAAGATACTTACAAAGTTCACATTTAAGTCCAAAGAGCTTCCCAATTTTGTTGATTCGCACCAAGGGAGTATCGCCGATCTTCTTGAGGATGTCTGGCATAATTTTTGGAGTCTCGGCTCTAAACCAGAAAGATACAGGAGCATAGAGCAGGGATGGAAAACAACTGTAAACCCCACAGCAATATCCAGCAGCACCTCAACATGGCTTGCAAAGTATCAAACCAAACTAGCGTGCTGGATTCTAACTACCAAAGCTAATCAGACCTCAGTTTGTGGTTCTATTGAATGGCAGCTTACCTTGCAACATGGCGATGGGGCGACTCAGAAGGAGATTTCCCAAGCTCCCAGGTACACTTGCTTGGAATGTCAGGCCTGATCCACTTCCTCTCCTTCTCTGGGGAGTTGCAAGGCTCCTTCTCCGGAATTCCATTGGGTGTGCAGCTGGCTGAGAAGTGAGAGCAAGCCAAGGTGTCCATCCCGGCTTCTGTGGGAAACGATGGCATTGTGACCTCAAGGGAAGAAAGGGACTAATGAAATTTTCACTCGCCATTAGGCAAAATACAGAAAATTGTCAATAAATGCAAAAAATTAAGTTTTACCACCTAAAATGACATGCCCTTACTGTACGTGAGACAACTGATCCATCTAGCCCAGTACTAGTTACAGTCGTTTTGGAAGTCGAACGGAATCCATTCGACTTCCAAAACATTTGGAAACCAAAGCACGGCTTCCGATTGGCTGCAGGAAGCTCCTGCAGCCAATCGGAAGCTGCGCCGGACGTTCAGGTTCCAAAGAATGTTTGCAAACTGGAACACTCACTTCTGGGTTTGCGGCATTTGGGAGCCAAAACGTCCAAGTACCAAGGCATTTGGGATCCAAGGTACGACTGTACTCTCATAGGCAGTGGCTCTCAGGCAAATGCCTTCCCATCACCATTGAGCTGGTACCCAGTCCTTTTTTCAGCTGGGGAATCCAAGGTTAAACTCTGGAACCTTCTGCATGAAAAGCATATGCTCTAACACAGAGCTGTACCCTCTCCAATCCTGATAATGATTCTCTCTCACACACCAGGAACATCTCAGTAAATTAAGGGGGCGGGGGGACACCTTCCACGGTTTTTACAAATTCTAGACTAGTTCATCTGGAATTCATTTCCCTACCTTGGTTCTGATCACACAATTCCCAATATTGAACAGAACAAAAGAACACCGCTGCTGGGTCAGGCCAATGGCCCATGTAGTCCAGCATCTTGTTCTCACAGTGGTTAACTAGATGCCAAAACTAGAAGCTCCAAAGCAGAACCTGGGCGCAAACAGAACTCTCCCCAGAGCCCCAGCAGTGGAGGCAGTGCACAGCCATCAGGACAAGGATCCATTGATCACCTGAGGCCCCATGAATTTGTCTAAACCCCTTACTACATCTTGTGACAGTGAGTTACATAGATACTACAGACTGCGTGAAAAAGTATTTCTTTTTGTCTGTCCCCAAACCTCTGGCCTTCAGCTTCACTGGATGATGCCAGGTCTAATAGTAAAGGTAAAGGTACCCCTGACCATTAGGTCCAGTCATGACCAACTCTGGGGTTGCGGCGCTCATGTCGCTTTATTGGCCAAGGGAGCCGGCGTACAGCTTCTGGGTCATGTGGCCAGCATACTAAGCCGCTTCTGGAGAACCAGAGCAGAGCATGGAAACGCCGTTTACCTTTCCGCTGGAGCGGTACCTATTTATCTACTTGCACTTTGACGTGCTTTCGAACTGCTAGGTTGGCAGGAGCAGGGATCGAGCAACAGGAGCTCACCCCATCGCAGGGATTCGAACTGCCAACCTTCTGATCAGCAAGTCCTAGGCTCTGTGGTTTAACCCACAGCGCCACCCACGTCCCCTGGTCTAATAGTACAAAGGAGGAAAATGTCTCTCTGTTCACTTTCTACACAGCAGGTAGAGTTTTATGTATCTCTACCATGTCCCCCAGCCTCCTTTACTTGCCCTAAAAATGGCCAAATGTTGTAACCTTTCCTTTCAGCTCCCATGATCATCTTGCAAATTGTCCTATAATATGACTTATGTGACCTGAAAGAAAATGTTATTTCCCTTATTATACTACACACAGCAGGCAATGCTTTTCTCCAAGATCTCAGGAAACAAGAGGTTAAAAGGCCCAGTTATATCAATAAATAATCAACAGCAACATTAAAGCCTGAAAGACCGGAAAATCTAGAACTAGAAATTTCAAGTGTACTAGGAAATGCTGCCCCTGGACAAATAATAAAGTGCACAAAATACTCCCAAGCAAGACACTACTTGGAATCTTCTAGAATTGGTGCATTTCTAGAGATTGACTCCATAATTGTCAGCAGACATTGATAATTTGGCAGCATCCTCTTCTCACTACCTCTCAACACCCATTTGCGCTGATTCAGAAGAAAGATCACAGAAGGCTAGTATCCTCCTGTCATAAAAGGGCCCCCTTCTGCCAAGGGGGAGAAGTTGCAACCTTAAGCGCAAATTTTACCTGAATAGATATGTGCAGAGCCAAGCCTTAGAGCGACAAGGAACAAGATAGGTCAGCCTACAAATTCCTAAATTCCAGATCCACTAAAAAGCTTCCGCATTGCCCCACATAACGGTTTGCCAGACTAAACTGTGGGGTTGTGAAGTGAAATGCTTTTACAAAGCGGCATTTCACTTGAAGTTTGAGACTTCTCTACTGCATTCTGAAGAACCTTCATATTATTTTTAGTAGGTGACCAATCATGTAGCAAGTAGAGCATTAGCCCGCTGGGAGCCATCTTGAATCCACTTCCTGCACTTGTCAGTCATTAATTATAACATTTATGCAAATGTAACCAGAAAAAAGGCTTTGCAAAGGAAGCAGGGGCAGTGGCGTAGCGTGGGTTGTCACCACCTGGGGCAAGGCAAGTAATTTGCACCCCCTAACCCGTGGATTTGCGCCCCCTAACCCTAACCCCCAGATGTTGCGCCCGGTGCGGCCGGCCCCCCCTGCACCCCCCACGCTACGCCACTGAGTAGGGGAAAGTTTATTTCTTATTTCCTTCTCAAGTAAAGCCACTAGCTTATCTCATAAGTGGCCTTCATGCTTTGCCCTATTTCACAGGCCAAGTCTAAGAAGTGAGGGAGTAACTGGCCAATTTGAAGAAGCCTTACGTCAGGCATTTTCCCATGGCAACTCCCCTTCTTACTTTAAAATCCCCAGATGAACCTCAACACGAAACAACTTTTGGACAATAGATGGCAATAGATGCTAGCATCATACAGTAAAGTAGTGCTTAGTGTATCGTACTTAGAATTAAGACAGCCTTTGATCATACACAGCATTGAGATCCTTGTGGATTTATCACTGGGGTGTTCTAGATAAGGGGGTTGCCAATTCCAAAACCAGAGCTCTAGATTAAAGCTGTTGTGAAAGACCCTGAGCTTGCTTTGTAACAGGGCGATTACTGAAAAACAAACTTTCATTTGCTTTGCCTGGCATATTGTGTCCCAGCTTGCTCTTTTTGATAAGAATAAAAAAGTCCACAACTCTTATAGAGTAAGGAGGGGAGGGAAGAGACCTTTTCTAACATGATGGTCACATTTCCTTCTGGGCAATATCTGCATGTCAGATTCTAGTGGCAGGGCAGGGTCAGAGGAAACCTTAGGTGGAACTGATGTAAATTTTCCCTCTGAACAACAGGCTAGTTTACACACACCTCTGTATCTGCCATCCAGAGAACCACGAGACATCACCCAAGTTCAAGGCTACACTCTAGCCAAGCAAAAACACCAGGGTGTGAAAAGGATCCAGGGGTGTGTGGTCTGAGGAGTCTTCAGAGGGCCAGAGAGAAAGAGAGGCACATTCAGGGCCCACACCTGATGCTCCACACCTTGGGTAACATTAACTTGCCAGTTGCCAAAAGAATACTGAGACAGTTTAAACTGGAACAAGACATTCTGTTGCCTATTGCAAGACACACCTCACGCCATCATATTCTCTCTATACAGAAGCCCACTGGATTGGCAGTTGAATCATACTTCAACATTTGTGAAAAGTCGTATTTTGCAATCACTGGCTGTGATTATCAGTTAAACATCTGGCTAGTTCAGATGGCAATTAAGAGCTCTGAGAACTTAAAGAAGATATTGAAAGATTGTGGAAGAAAGGGGTTAAGTTCACTGCATGTACTTTGTTAAAAGAAAATATTATGAAGGTGAAGAAGAAGAAGAGTTTGGATTTGATATCCCGCTTTATCACTACCCAAAGGAGTCTCAAAGCAGCTAACATTCTCCTTTCCCTTCCTCCCCCACAACATACACTCTGTGAGGTGAGTGGGACTGAGAGACTTCAGAGAAGTGTGACTAGCCCAAGGTCACCCAGCAGCTGCATGTGGAGAAGCGGAGACGCAAACCCGGTTCCCCAGATTACGAGTCTATCGCTCTTAACCACTACACCACACTGGCTGATGTATAGATGGTATTTGACTCCTGTAAAATTAGCAAAGATGTATCATAATTGTGATAATACATGTTGGAAAAGAAAAGAAAAGAAAAGAAAAGGAAGGAACATTTTTTCATATGTGGTGGACCTGCCCCAAGGTGAAAGACTTCTGGGAAAAGATTTATAATGAATTGAAAAAAATGTTGAAATATACATTTATAAAGAAACCAGAGGCCTTTCTTCTTGGAATAACAGGTTCGGAATTGCCCAAGAAAGATGTTAAACTATTTTTGTATGCCACAACTGCGCATCGTATTTTGTTAACTAAAAAGTGGAAAACTAAAGAATTACCAACAGTAGAAGAATGGCAGATGAAGATGATGGATTCCATGGAGCTAGCCAATCTAACCGGAAGAGTCCGCGACCAGAAGGAGGAGGAACACCACAAAGAATGGAAGAAATTTAATGATTATTTAGCTAAATTTGTTAAGCTAAACTAACTGGAAATAGCTTCCAGATACTTAATGGGTTTAGGATTGTATTTATGTTAACTGATAAAATAATATGTTTAATACAAGAAGGAGAAGATTTAAAGATGTTAATGTTTAATTTAAAGGGTATCAAAATTGGGATTTGGAAAACCGTTATAAGGATATGCAATGAAATTCAACTAAGGGGAAACGAGGAAGTCATTTTACAAAGTAAAAAACTGTTATTTTCAATAAGGTTATGATTTATGTTTGTTATGTTTTGTTTGTTTTGTGCTTTTGTTTGTCGTTGATATTGTAAAAACTAATAATTTTTTTGCAAAAAAATAAAGAAGATAAGTCCCTTGACCCAGGGACCGTCCACATATATATTGGCCTATTCCTCTCTCTTTTTCTTAATGGTGACATGGACTATTCATAACAAGGGAATATTCTTCCCAACTGTTGAGCAGGGCAGTGGGGTGGGGTAGGTGGAGACAAGCAACAACAATTAACCATCATGCTGTTCACTGTTCCTGCTGCACAGAAAAAGCATTTTGGTTCCTGAAATTCATTCCGATTATGCAGATAAAATGTAACTGATAGA